GTGTGAGTATATAAATTTAAAGTGCAGCTTGTAAGACTAATGTAATGATATGTATCAAATATTTTCAGGCATTATATAACTTGACACTGCCTGAATGGACCCATGATGTTCTCCCAGCCATGAAGGAACTTTCTGACTTCAGCTTTGAAATTGTGGCTTTGTCCGAGGAACTGAAACGGTTAAGAGCTGGTGAGTATAATGAGCTTCAAGATAATCATTGAAATGTTGCAATTCAGGGAATCAGATTTGGAAAGGATGATCATTTCAGCTCGACGTTCCATTTTCATTATGTAAAAGAGGAGAAATAGGTCTTAAAAAGGCTTTCTCAATGTATTGCTGTTTGATTAATCACAGAGAAAATGTCTTGTGTGCTGTTACTTGCTGAAATTTGATAAATTTAGGAAGTTTTTTATAGCATTTTTCTCAAAATGGATCTTTATGTCACTGGTCCTCCTTGTTTTCAGCCAGCTCTAGTGTGTGTGTGTGTGTGTGTGTGTCTGTGTCTGTGTCTGTCTGTGTCTGTGTCTGTGTCTGTGTGTCTGTGTTGTACATGCATTTATGAATATACATATATATATATATATATATATATATATATATATATATATATATATATATATATATATATATATATATATATATTATGTCTCTTTTAAAGCAAAAGTGTCATATTCTAGGTCCAATAATTGGGGAAATGGGCAAGAACATGCGGGAGAAAGCAGCCGGCAACACACCACAGCAGAAAATGTTTATGTATTCAGCCCATGACACAACATTGGCACAGCTACTCCTCGGCTTGGGTGTATTCAACAATGTGGCTCCACCCTATGCCACCACGTTCATTATTGAACTGCACAGGCATAATGAGAATGAACATTATGTTAAGGTATTATTGTTAAATGGATTCTCTGTTTGTCCGTGTCTGTCTACGTCTCTCTCTCTCTCTCTGTGATTGTGTCTCAGTCTTGTCTCTCTGTGTCTGATTCTTTTTCCCTATCTTTGTTTCTCTGTCTGTCTTTGTCTTCTTCAGCATTGTTTATTGTTTATCATAAAATATAACATGAGTATGAAGCCAGATATATTTAAGAGTGAGAGGAAAGTGAGAGCCATGATCTGGAAATCAAAATTTAGCAGTTTAATCTCATATGTGATTTTTCTTTCATTTTTTCAATAAAACAATGATAGTTGATAGTGATTATACTAGCATAGAGAAGAAAAGTAGATGATATTAGTTAACTGCTGCAATGTTATCAAACTAGCCTATCTACTGTAGTTTTCTTTTTCGATTTTGTTGGCATGTAAATGGCATGACAAGTGTTTAGCCACTAAGGAGCTATGTGATCCCACCTGATTTCTCCCCTCCTTGAGTTTTCAGAAAAATGTTGTTTTCTTCACTATAACCATTAATGTTGATGTTTTTATTATCATGAATGACATGAGTATTAAGATGTTATTAGTAATACTGATAACAATGAAAAATAAGAAATAGGTGAGATAGGTAGCACTAGTAATTGAGTCCTTGGTGTTTAATCAAATTGAAAAAATTGTATGGTTGTACCATATAGTAAGAATTGAAACATCAAACAGAGTTCTATATCTCACTGTAGACATGAGTTTATGTAAAGTCTTCATAGTCTTTACATAAAGTTAATAATTGATGTATGTACTCTCTCTCCCTGTCTGTTATCCAGATGTTCCTCCGTAATGACACCAAAATTATTGACCCACCCTATGAGCTCCACCTGCCAGGCTGTCCTGAGCCATGCACCCTCGATGATTGGCTAAGCATCACTAGTCAGGTTGTGCCGGAGGATTGGGCTGCTGAGTGCAATGCTGATGAGGACGTGGTTGAAATGGCAACTGAGACATTAGTTGGTAGGTTTGTCGGCCCATTTGTTTCTGCTTCCAGCACAGGTAACGAGTGGGAGACACCTGGAACTGATACAGTTGCGTGTAGCAGATTGTAGATTACTACATAAATGATATGGTCATTGTGGCATGGAATATTCAGTATTTTTTCTTTGTTTAACCTTGTCTTTGTAAGTATATTTAAGTAAAGCATATTCTCATTTACAATTGTAGAAGGTAAGCATAAGCGCATGCAGCAGATATCTGTTGGTATTCATTGGTATTTTCCTGACTTGATTTTTTTTACTGATTCACAGTTGGTATTTATCATAGTAATATTATTGCTTTTGTGATTATTTTTTGCCATTATAATTATCATATAATTTTGATTTCTGCTGCCCTTCAGAGGGTAAAAAATTAAAAAATCTGGGACCAGCTTCAACATTCTGCCGTATTAGTAAGAGCCAAAGAGGACCTAACCTTTGATATGTCTCATAGAACTAACCTTTGTGCTTAATATACTTATTTACTTTGTGTCATACCTTAAAGGAAATGAGTTATTATGGATAGTAAAAGCAGGGGACGACATATAGTATTTGGCTTTGTACTAACAATAATAGAATCATAACTATAAAGAATGCAAGAAAAATATCTGAGTTTGAAATCTATTGATACTGTGAGAACAATATAGGAACTTTGTTTTGTATAATGTAAAATGTATGATATATGATTAGGAACTTGTGTTTGTATAATATAAGATGTATGATATATGATTAAAACTAAGAAAATGCATGAAAAGAATATTAAGCAGAAACAAAAAGACGATGATTTTATGTTGTGATAGCTCATTGATTCATTTCTCTATGGTTCTTTTGGGTTCCATCGCGTACCGGATTTCAACAACAGTGCCAACCGTCCCCAAGGAGTTTTAGGAGAAACATTAATGTGCGTTTGCTCAGTTTGCGAAATGAAAGGAATGAAAACCCCTCTCCCTCTCCATATTGAACTGTAATTTTGTTCTAAAACTTTTATTCCCATTTTTATTAGGATTTCTTTAACTGGGTTATACCTTCCATTCTGTTAGTAAACCCTCTGGAATTCAGGTTATCAATATCTAATCAAAGTCTATGCTTATCTTCTCTGTCTTCAAGTTCTTGCAACAGTTCTGATTTTTCATACATTTTCTCTTTTATTTTTCATTTCATCCAAGTATATTTCTCATTCATGTACCTGGGTTAAGACTGGTAAAAAAAAATCTAGTGTACACAAAACAGATTTATTAAAAGATAAAAAAAAACAGGTTTAAAATCTAGTTTGATTCTATCATCAGGTCTGAAGAGGTGTATTTCAAAACTTGTTTCAGTGAACTAGTTTTTTTTATAGTTGGTTTTTCAACTATTGTATTAGTATGATAAAGTGTTCTGTTATTGGTATGGTTGTTTCACGTGTTCTTGATAAGTGTGGGCTTAAGATACTTCAGAAGATTTGCATAGTAATTGCTTCTTTCTTCCTTTCTTTCTTTCTCGTTTTTTACTAGTGTTGTTTTATGGGTGCATTATTAGTAATCCTTTTTATTAAGAAAATCAGTTGGGGAAAAACTATATAACCTTAAGTATAAACTAAAATATTTCAAAGAATATTTCCGATGTTTAACCTCTTGAACGGTCTTGCTCCTTTCCTGACTGCAGTTATACTTAACCTTTACACTTAATAGCCTTTCTCAAAAGTTGTATCAGCTAGCCATATCAAGACATTAAAATCATTCTTACAGCTGCGTACTTGCTCACTAAAATCAAGTTGGAAAACTGGCTTGATTTTGCAGAAAATATCTTGCACTGCCCTCAGGAACTATAAGGAGCTAGCGCATAAGTCAGGCGCAGTAAATGATTGTTTTGTTTGTTTGTCTATCAAAAGCCCCTTGCAAGACTTAGCACATCTAGCAACACATCTGGCCTTCCTTTCCAGCAACGTTTAGATCACTGTAGTGTAGAAGAAAGAGAAAGAGGAGTAGCGAGGAGAATCTATGTGAATCATAAAAGGCTAATAGTAATATCACAGAAGCATAAACTGCACACTTTGCTTAACCATTCATGAAAAGCTTTAAAAGATTTCTCATCCTTTCCAAAGGGACTTGAGAGATATGATCATGCCATCTGGTAGATAGCCAAGCAATTAATAAACTTTTTAAAGAAGCAGCCATATGATTAACACTGGAACTACTCATAGTCTCACATTTTCATAAAGAATGAAGAGAGTATAGTTCTTCAGATCACAAATATTGACTAGTAAAATTACTGCTTAATGACAGCACTGATGTTGTAATTAAAAATGTTTGGTATGGTGATAAGAAACTGAAAAGTTTTCACTTTTCCAGAGGTCCAAAAATGCAAAGATTAAGTGATGCTTATCTCAGTTGTCTCTGTTGCTATTCATTTCATAAATATACCTTCAGGATTGATTGCATTGATAATGGGTTTGTTGATATTCGGTAGCTGTTAATACAAAACAAAACAAAAAATACCAAAAAAAAAAAAGTGAAATCCAATGACTAATTCACCCACAGATGCTTGTAAATTGTAGCATATATGTATTATATTTTGTAAATCCTGTAGATTTAGTCCTAAGTGAGTTTTCATGAGTAGTTTCCATTAAACCCAGTTTCGACTAAATGGAGTGTTTACTATAACTTGAAATTATATGCATGGATGTGTTTTTACTAACAGATTTTTACAGAGGTATGTATTGCATCATTTTTATTTTTTATGTGGAAAAACAAAACAAAAAATAAATTAAAGGGCTCAGTTTCATGCTTCAAAAGAATATAGCTTTTTATTTTAATGTGTGTTTACTATTTAGAAATTCAGTAAACCTCTAGCTTTTGATCATACTCCCACTCCCACTCCCTTATGTTCACTAGGTTACACACGGACATATTCATAAACTCGCTCTCTTTTTGTGCTTATCCGTTCACAGCATACAAAAACCTCCCTGTATATTTAATGTATTTCAAGTTTGTTTACCTTGTTTTTCTCTCCCTGCAGCCATCTCAGTAGCTGTCTTCCTGGGCATTCTTCTTCTTCTCCTGGTCATCTTCAATTTGTGCCAGTGGAAACAATCAAAGCATTTCAACTACCAAGCCGTCCCAAACAACTTTTCGTAGTGCTAGGTTCCTCGGAGAGTGAAAACCTGATGCTTGCTCACACGGAAGGAAGGGCTGTGCAAAATGGAATTCTGTCATCAAAGCGTTTTACAGATGAGTGAATGGAATTTAAAGGAAAGGATTGGTGGACTTTAACCCTTGTGATAAAAAGAAGAAAAAAAACAAGTACACAGTGTGAGGTGTTTTGAATCAGTTAAGTGGGTACGACATGTTTTCACATCCTGGAATGAAAAAGTTTGTAAATGTTACTGGAACATTTCATTTATCTCTAAGTAATATTTTAGAAGTTTCGCGAGATTATATATTTCTATATACATAATGCACTGAATGAGATTTTATTGTAAGTTAACCTTTGTGCCTCTTTTATTTAGTCTGCCAAATGTAGCTGCAAGTATTTTTATAATGTTTCTCTTTTTTCATAATTGTTTAGTTATATCAGTGGTTTTCTTAAGATTAAGTATGGATGGAGGTAAAAGTTTTAACTTCTGAAAATTCCAGATTGATTCATATAATTTTTTAAGTACATTGTTGATGATTAATTTTCTCCTTTTTTCATTCAGTGGAAGAACAAATTCAATTTTAAGTACCATTGGAACTTAGTCATATTTTTTAAATATAATAGATCAATGTAGATCAATGCTAGTAAGTTCAATTTTCCGTGACTGCCATACAGTGAAGGGATTCCTTGTAGGTTTTCTCCACAGCATTACAGGAAATGCTTTCGTCTTTCAAAACTTCATTATGCAGTGTTGTTTCTAGTGATCAAAACCAGTGCCAGTGATTATTGCTAGTATTATACAAGGGAAGGGTTTTTTGCTGTTAGTATTTTCGCTTGCTTGCCATCGCTCATTTTTCCTCTCTCTCTCTCTCTCTCTCTCTCTCTCTCTCTCTCTCTCTCTCTCTCTCTCTCTCTCTCTCTCTCTCTCTCTCTCTCTCTCTTTCTCTCTCTCTCTCTCTCTCTCTCTCTCTCTCTCTCTCTCTCTCTCCCTCCTCCCTCTCCCCTCCTCCTCTTTCCCTCTCTCCCTCTCTCCTCTCTCCTTCCCTCTCCTCTCTTCCTTCTCCCTCTCCCTCTCCCTCTCTCCTTCCCTTCTCTCTCCCTCTCTCCCTCTCCCTCCCTTCTCCCTCTCCCTCTCTCCCTCTCTCCTCTCTCTCCCTCCCTCTCCCTCTCTCCCTCCCTCTCCCTCTCACCCTCTCTCCCTCCCTCTCCCTCTCACCCTCACCTCACCCTTCTCCCCCTACTCCCTATCCCTCTCCCTATCCCTATCTACCCATTCCCACATGTTCTTGTATTGTTGATTTTGCATAAGGCAGATCTATATGTATTACCATGATAAGTGACCCTTGAGTTCTGAATTATTATCAAGAATGTTAATATCTGAGAAGAGATTCAATATCTATATTTGATTTTCCAACTATGCATTTCTGTTTGTCCAGCAAATGCATTTGACATTCTACCATTTGCTACAGATGTTTCTCAAATTTGATATGTATACAGTGTAGGATTGTGTGTGTGTGTGTATGTGCACGTATTTGGATAAAATCAGACAGAAGATGATATTATGCCAGGCTTTAATCCTTTCCAGCTGTCCTCTGATGGAAAAAGAGGTCTTTATATTCTCTTGAAGTTCAACAGGTGTTATTTGCTTGGGGTGTTTCCTTGGATTGCAAAAGTGTCTTAACCAGTAACATTGTGGAATGGTCTTAGATTCATGTTAAAATTTTAATGCGAGAGTATTGTTAGAGATATGTATATATCATATGGTTGTGAACAATATAAGTGTGATCTAATCAAACTGCTGTGTTTAAGAAAAAAAAAATTATTGTACCGTAATCAAATGAAAAAAAATTGAATTATGCTTTGATTATCATTATTTTCTATGAAAAGTATAGTTGATATAATAAAGATCTTATTTTTTAATCTATATGAACTGAAGGTATTTATATTTGTATACCATTATGAGTTGATGGTATTCGTGATCAGTGAGTGTTCAAGTGAAGATTAGGGGACTGCAACAATTGCAACAGATTGCAAAGCATTAAACCAACATTTCTGGGATTGTGCCATAAATAATCATGAAGACCAGTGATGTGCACATGTTTGTCTCATGATACCTTTTCTAATTTTATGTACACTCTGTGTTTTTTTCTTCTTCTTTTTTCTCTTTTTTTCTCTCTTATTTTTCATGAGTTACTGTTGGCACTCCTTTGACTATATCAGTGTATTGCTATTGATCATTATTATTATTATAATTATCATTATTATTATTATATTGTTACTTTTTGTCATTATCATCATCATCATCATTATCCATATGCTCATTATCATGATCATTACCACCTTCATCTTTTTTGTTGTTGAAAAACAAGGTTAAGTCAGATTTCAATACTAGTTTATTTAGCATTGTGTGCACATCATGTGAAGAATTCATGCGGAAATTGATAAAACAGTGAAGGGAAGTATACAAAAAGGTACGAATATGTCATTCTGCGAC